GTCATCTTTTAAGATTTTAAATAGTTCAACTGGAATGCCATCACCTCCACTGGCCTTGTTGTTAGACAAGCTTTCTAAGGCCCACTTGACTTCACTCTCCAGGATGTCTGGCTCAAGATCTGCAACCACATTATCTGGGTTGTCTCGGGTATCCAAATCTTTCTGGTATAATTACTTCATAATAATTCTTAGGGTGACTTTAAACAACAACAGATCCACTATATGGGCTACAGTAGGGCTGAGGGAGCTATGAGCAATTGATTCCAAACACTTCTCACCACAGATGTAAAAAGCCGTGCATATGCAAACTTTGTATATAGCATAGTTTCTTGTTCCCTCTAGTGGCCAGTTATGGTAATACAGCTTGGGAATGTGTTTTTCTTTGTGATTTTGTTTAATATTTTCAGGCAGTAGGTAACTAAAACGGTCGGCACTTGTCCCACGGATATGGTGGTCCTGTTGTACTTTATGTGGATGAAGGAATAACACTGGCAACATTATTTGTTAGGTCTTGTGATAATATTTGAGGGAAAAATTCTTGCCTTATTAATTAGCAATTAGCCCAAGATATTGTGTTCTCTTGTGGGATGTGGTGGCGTTGCGGGTTAAACCGCAGAAGCCTCTGTGTTGCAAGGTCAGAAGACCAGCCGTAGTAAGATCGAATCCACGCGACGGAGTGAGCTCCCGTCGCTTGCCCCAGCTCCTGCCAACCTAGCAGTTCGAAAGCATGTAAAAATTCAAGTAGATAAATAGGTACCACCACGGTGGGACGTTAACAGCGTTCCGTTCTAGTCACGTTGGCCATGTGACCACGGAAGATAATCTACAGACAAGCGCTGGCTCTATGGCTTGGAGATAGGGATGAGCACCGCGCCCTAGAGTCGGACACAACTGGACTAAATGTCAAGGGGAACCTTTACCTATTCTGTTCTCAGAGGCATCGTGACTGCGGGGATTTTTAAGAGGTTTGGGGGTGGCAGGGTGAGAGGAATCTGGCCCACAGGTTGCAGTGCACTGATACATTCTTCTGCACAGATGATATTGAAATGAATTGAATTGCAAAATAAAGTAATGCTTGTGAGCATTTCCGCAAGAGAAGTTCTGGTACAGTGTAGAGATTGTGTCTGATGTCCTCATGTTGTAATTGCTTATTTCCAACACATCTTTTTTCCCTTCCTGCAGATTCTGCCTCATAAATGCTGGCATCCTGTACCTCTATTTTAGTAGCTTTCAGCAGATAGATGAAGAGGAATATGGTGGAACATGGGAGCTAACAAAGGAAGGGTTCATGACGTCCTTTGCATTATTTTTGGTAATCTATGCTACATGCTCAAAGATTGGTGCCATTATGTATATGGGCTCCTTATAAAAGAGGCAGATCATAACCCCAAGACATGTAAGCATCTACAGTTAGGGAATGTGGCAAGGACTGGGCAATATAAAGCCCACAGGGCAAGTGATACATGCAGTCTGTCACATTGTCTCCAAAATCAATGTCTCCCTGTATCTGTAAAAGCAGTAAAGCCTTTTATGCTCTACAGTGGTGCCTCGCTTAACTGTGATAATCCATTCCAGGAAAATCGCCGTTATGCGAAAACATCGTAAAGCGAAAAAAAAACCATTGAAATGCATTGAAACCCGTTCAATGCGTTCCAGTGGGGTAAAAACTCACCATCCAGCGAAGATCCTCCATACGGCGGCCATTTTCGCTGTCTGTATAGCGAGGAATCCGTCCCTAAACATAGTGGGGAGCCATTTTAATCACCTGGTGGGCATTTTGAAACCACCAATCAGCTGTTCAAAAAACGTCATTTTTGCGAAGAATCGGTTCCCGAAGCAGGGAACTGATCATCGCAAAGCAAAATTCCCTCATTCAGACCATCGTTTTGCGATCACAATTGCAATCGCAAAAAGATTGTCGTTAAGGGGATTCGTTGTAATGCGGGGCAATCGTAAATCGAGGCACCACTGTATATTATACAACACTGGAGGTTTGCTGTATCTCTGTGTTTGACTGATCCACCACCTATCTTCAAGCCTCAGTACCTGCTTGCACATAAAATCCTTAGTCATGCTGATTTTTCTCTGTACAGTGAAATTCCCTTGGTAGGAAAACATAGAAGATGCCATTCTTGATGTGCAGTATAAAAGTAGGCAAAAAACCAAACAAACCCTTTGCCACTGATCCATATGTAAATAAGCAAACATATTAGTGATAAGAGGTAAGAAACTAAAAGGTTTCCTGAGTGTTATTAAAATAGAAACCCAATCTGTGCTGTCTCATAGGCTTTATGTGGGGAACCAAGGATTAAAAGTTCTCTACGTTTTATTTCCAGACTTCAATTCTCATATGCACTGTGCATTACAGAAATTGTAGGGCAAATCATGGGGGGAGAAGGATTGGCTAGCCACCTCCTGAGAAAGAGTTTTATGATTGCCCTTTTGTGGAGTTTACTATCAGCAGTTGTAGCAGTTCTTCCTTATTTCAGAAGAGGAGCATTACATACTGTCATGCTCAATATTTTGCTGCATAATGCAGATAACAAAAGTTCTGGAGACAAGATTCTTGTTTTTGTATCCAAGTATTATGTTCTTTGTTGACATTTTCTTTCTCCGTGTGCTTCATTTCAGGTTGTCTGGATAATTTTCTACACTGCCATTCATTATGATTGAATAAGTCTGCCAAATCAATTGTCTTAAGAGATTGAAGAACACTTTAAAAAGCAGCCTTTGGACTGGGGGAGGTAAAATACCATGGCTTTTATACCCACAAATACAAGGAGTTGGGATAAGCCTTATGCCTTCTGAGAAGAGAAGTTGAGTCTGTTTTGATTATTTTTAAAAAGTTGTTGCTTTTCCAGAACTTTAAAAAAAGCCATCACAATGTTTTGCAAACAGTACGAGACTGTTCAACCTTATAGCCCTCTCTGTGACTTTATTCAATATGGCGATGACAAATCTCTTTATCCTAAAAAGATAACCCTGTTAATTAATTTGTCCCCATTGAGCTGCTCTCTCTGAATGAGATATATTCAAATTGTGACGTCTTCCATTTGCTAAATGTACAGTTTCAAAACAGTAGCCATTATGTGACATTTGGCAACAGGAGAATTCTACAAAATGGATTGTAGACAGTTGTTTCAGCTTGTTTAAAGAAAATTAAAGATCTGATTGTATAAAGTATTAGTGTCTTTAACGGGTTCATTGAGGGTTTCTTAAATGTTGATTGCTTAACAGTGTTATAATCATAGTCAGTTTCTGAACATTTTGGGATATTAATTCCTTATTGAGCCGTGAAGGGGATGCCTGACTTGACTGTTGAATTTACAGAAACAGTCACAGTGATTTAGAAGCATTTTAATAATTTAATTTGTCAGCTAATTCAGTTCTCAGTGCCTACCTCAGAGTCCAGTATCTTAATGCACAAAATAATTTAAGATGTATTTCAGAACTCAATTGCTTTGAGTTCTTGATGGTTTCTGAAGTTGAAAAACAACACAAAATAATTAAGGCAGCTAATGTCATGTATATGGAACTAACTCTTTCACGTTGGGACTAGAGTGACCTACAGTTTTAGTTTTAATCTTTGTAATTATGAATAAAGTTATCAAAGATAATGACTGTTTAGTTAACTTACAAATCTTAAATATATTGACAATACAGTTTTATATATGCATTCCTGTCTACATGGATGTCATTAGGAAGTGATCTCTTAATGGAGTAGATTTGTCTGTTTTAATCCTAATCTAACATGAATGACAAAGAGAAGCTTTCCACTAAGGTTGTTTTATGATGAGAGCATGACTTGAGTCTTCACACACTGTGGATGAATTCCTAATTCTTCTTACTTTTCTGTTAAATTCTAATTTTAGTATACTTGACATCACAAAGTAGTTTCTATATATTATCCTTCAACACCATTTGTTCTTTCCCTTTGTCCTTGTACAGTCAGAGAAGAACTCTACTACGGGACAGGGAAGGTAGAAATACTGCAGCTGCTAAGAAGTATAGCAAGTCCAGCTCCTGTAGATCTTTATTCCCAGCTTTACAAATTTGCTTTTCTGGTGTGTGGATTAATCATTCACATGACCCTTACGGATTGGAAGCAATCATTTTCCTCCCAAGAAGCTTAATCTCTGCTGGGTTTAAGTAGCATTTTATTTTGTTCACTTAAAGTTTCTGTGACCCACAAGGAACAGTAGATGATTTTATACTTAAAAACACTCTAATAAACATCACATGTTTAAGAAGCTGGCATAGTGCTTTTTTAATTTGTACTGGGATTCCGTTATTTAAAATAACAATCAACTCTTTGTAGCTGACTCATCTCTGAAAATATGTAAAATGGTTTGTTGCCATTATAATTAATAGGCAGTGGTAACATTTACTTAAGAGATTTGGCCATAGACATGCTTGGTGGCATTGACTTTGTGACACCACTTTTCCAAGAGCAGGAAAGCAGTATCAGTTTCAAGCCCCCGGGTGCCAAAAAGCACAGATATAGCAAACCCTGTATATGGCCTGTGATTCCCAGTGTGGTGTAGTGAGTAGAGTGACAGACTAGAACACTGGAGAACAGTGTGAAATTGATAAAACCACTTCTTAAATCTCACTTACCGTGGCAGCTCTATTAGGGCAGTTATAAGTTGGTTCTGACTTGATGACACAAAACGATCACATATGTTGCGTTGTCTCTGGTTCTGTTAGTGACCAGTTCTGGTAATACAGTGATGTCTCGCAAGACGAAAATAATTCATTTCGCGGGTCATTTCGTCTTGTGAAAATTTCGTCTTGCGAAGCACTGTTTCTGATAGGAATGCATTGAAATTTAATGTGTTCCTATTCGTCTTGCGAAGCACGGCCACAGAAAAAATTGTCTTATGAGTCACCAAAAAAAATCGCAAAATGCTTTCATCTTGCGAGTTTTTTGTTGCACAAGGTATTCGTCTTGCGAGGCATCACTGTACATCTTGGAAATGCATCTTTCTGGGGGAGGGTTATTTAATATTTTCAAGCAGTGGGTAACAAAGACTGCAGGTACTGATTCCACAGATATGACAGTCTACTGTAATTAAAAGTATACATGCATGGACAGTTTTGCTGTTCAGTCAAGCTCTTGATTCTTGTGGCAGTGGTATGATATAACTTAAACCAAGTGTTGGATTTGGAATCATCATCATCACACAACTACAGAACTGGAATGGACCCTATCATCAAGTCCAGCCCCGAAACAAGACATTCAACTACAGAACTGGAATGGACCCTATGGATCATCAAGTCCAGCCCCGAAACAAGACATACGATGGGTGCTTTTCTTTTCTTACTAAGTTTGTGCAACCAGTTGCAATATATATGGGATAGGGGGTCAGAGTTTCTAGATCAGAGGGTATAGGAAAAATAAAAACAAGAGTTGTGGCATCTTAAAAACTGATTTATTTCAATGGGAACTTCAGATACAGTGTTTTTACAGTGAGATCTGAGCACAGACACTGCCAATTTGTTTCCACCTGCAGTGGCATTGTCTAGTTCCTGAATCATGCTGAACCAGGTAACAGACTTGGCATTATTTGATGACATGTGTCAGTGATCATCATTATAGTGTTCCTTGACTGCCTAAATGTTGGGTCAGCTTGTTTGTAACTTGGCCAGTAATATTCCTATTCAGTGGTCTTGACCACTATGAATCAATTCTTAACTTAAAGTTTAATACTATTTTGTTTTTTGTTTTATTTTTGCTGTCTTAAAGAAATAGTTGATGTGGTCTGAGTTTACACTGAAGGGGAGGTGAAGCAACTCTTCTGGATGTGTAGTTCATTTTCTTACACAATTTCACATCTTTACCAATGTGTTGATTTTGGCCCGTAGTAGTATAGGGGTGTGTGTACTGTGAATGTGTGACCTTTTGCCATGTGATTCCCACTGGAAAAACATTTGCTCAAGCCTCGTTCCCAGTGTAGATGTGGTGCTAGCTTAGGAAGTATTTTATTTCCTCTTCTCCTTGGAGAGCTTAGCCATGCAAAATGCAATCTCCAAGTTTCCTTCCCTTTCCTGCTCTAAAACAAAATCCACAGAGACTTGCTGGTGTATGGTTTCTTAATTTTTCTTTCTTTCCAGGTTCATGAAATAAGGGTTCTCCTGCTTCAGAATCATTACTTGTATTGTCTTGGGCTGTATTGTAGATAGCAAACATTGCAAAAAAGAGGGATGTCTCAATATGCTGAAAATTATATTTATTCTAAAGTACTGTAAGCCCAGTGTATTTAGTCTCCGTTTTATTTTAGGACATTCAAAGGAAGTACTAAAGTAGCATTTATGAATCCATGAAAAATGTATTTTCTAACCCTAATAACTGATCTACCAGTTCAATGTGACGATCTGTCTGTTTTGGATTCCCGGTAGTGCTGTGCAGAAGTTCTAATATTTCTGATGTTTGCTAGCAACCATTCAAAATAGCTCCAAGGAACAATCTTCTTGCAGGGCTTTTACCTGTCACTCAAAAAGTGCAGCCAGCCCTTATTCCATTTTTGTTTCTCTGAATCTGACCTGTGAATTAGCATCCAATATCTTAGCTTCAAGCTATAAAAAATGAACACTTCCCATAGATATGCAAACACCAACACAACTGAAGTCGACATACAACTTCCCAAGGATCAGTCCCTGAGTCACACTGTCTGACTCTTCCCTCTGCACTTGTAACACATGCCCCATGAAGTTTTTGTTCATTAAAAAAAACCTGCTAATTAGAATTGAACTTAACAGCTGAAAATAATGTTTGTTCACCTATAAATAGTATTTGGGAAAGGATATGCCAAAATGATATACAGTGGTGCCTTGCAAGACGATTGTTTTGCATAACGACGAATTCGCTTTATGATGAGGTTTTCGGAGCGATCTTGCGCTTCGTTTAATTATGTTTCCTATGGGCGATTTTCACTTTATGATGTTAGGGACCATGCCTCGCAAGATAGTTAAATTTTAGGTCCCTGTTTTTCACTTTACGATGTTTTTGACAGCTTAGTCTTGCTTTGCTATACTAGTCTTTTAATGGTCTTTGTTTCGTTAGACGGCTGTCTTTGCTTGGGAAGCGCGTTTCGCTTAATGATATTTCCTATGGCAATTTTCGCTTTTCGATGACAATCCATTCCCATTGGAACGGATTATCAGGTTTTCAGTGCATTTCAATGGGAAAACGTGTTTCGCAAGACAATGTTTTCGCTTAACAGCGATTTTCGTGGAACGAATTAACATCGTCTAGCAAGGCACCACTGTATGTCAGAAGATGTCCCTTTAATATGTCCATGTATATTTGGGACATATTTGTGGTGGGAGCAGTTGAGTGATTGCTTTCAGCAAATGTACATTCAAAACTTTGCACATGTACCGTGGGAGACAGAGATAGAACTTGGAGTGAATTTGCTTGAAGTGTCTGTCTCTAAAAAGATCAATGAAAGTGAGCTCCTTTGCAACAAAAATGTAGCAGGCAAAATGGCTCTTTAAGGCTGTGAATACATGGACAAATACCATAGGATTCATTATGCTTATAAAACCTGTGACTTAGAAGTATTTTTCACTGACCTCATGATACAAATACTGATTTTAATCAGTCCAGCCCTCTTTGCTCCCAAAAGAGCTTTTTTCTCAGCTTCTGAGGAGCTTCTACCATTTCAAGCAGAAATTATTCGAACAGGCTTTTTCCTGTGTGGTTAGTTCTGATATGTTCTTGTAAAAATGAGACGAGCGTGTCTGTAGGTGGTGTTTAAGTGACTTAGGCTGTTAGGGCATGATATTCAGAATTGGGGAGGGAACAAGCCCTTACATTCTTTTCTCTCCCTCAATCGTCCTCAGATTTAAAAACAATTCGTACAAATAGGAAATCAGCACTTGGTTGTCCTAGCACCTTATTACTGGGTTATCATTATTATTTCCCATGTTTAAACTCCTGTCAGTTCCCTGTCAGATCAGTAGAGGCAGGGCCAGAAGAAAGATCAGCAGGGGTGGGACCAGAGGAAGGAAGGAAGGAGGCTGTGGGTAGGAACGTGAATCACATCACATAAAGTATGAATAGTGAACTAAATCAATCTACAGCCCCTGGGTGAGCACTCACTGCGATTTCAAATGTAAAACAAGCTGCAAATCAAATCACGGCAAAGCTCCAATTTGGCTTTCCAGTGTAGTTGCACCTTAAATCTGTTTCTAAATGTTATTAATCCTTTAAAACTGTTTTTAATTTGTTTGAATGCTTTCAATCTGTTCTGAATTATTTTAATCTACTGTAAATGGCCTTCAAACCCCTGGTGGGTAGGAAGGTGATAAACAAACGCTTTAAATAAATACATTTATTTTCACTTGATGCTTAGCTTGTGGTGTGCTTCCAGCAAACCATTCTCCCTTGCCTGATATATGTAGCAAAGACCACATCACACAGGAACTAGGTTTTCCTTGACATCCAGCAGAGTGTAGAGATCTTTGTCCCTACTTTAATCTTCCGAAAGCTCTCTCCACAGGCAATCTGACCCTGTTGTGAAAGCACTTGTCATTCTTTTCTATCATTGTTCTTGAAGCAATGTGCCACCAGGCAGATCCACTATGAAAAGGTGAAATGTGGTCCACAAGGATGGCCAAACACAATGGAACATTGCTGACCAGTGATAGAGGCACTGGCTGCCAGTTTGTCAGTCATAAGAAAAGTCCAGAAGACACACACATTGTGTTTTTGCCCCCAAAACGTAGTATTCAGATGGGAAGCTTATTGTCATGCAGACCACTTTCTTTAAGATGGAAAACTTCCACTTCTGGCCATGCCAGGATTTATGCATCTGTCTTCAACAGGGAAGTAGTGGTCCTTGTAAATATCTCAAGTCTTTCTCTTTGAGACTTCAGTTTCTAACCAAGTACTGGTAAACACTGTGCTTTGGTTCATGGTACATAAAAGTGTAAGCATCACAGAAGAACCTTCTGGAAAGTTTGTCCATCTGGTTGGTATCCACAGCAGCAAATTCCTCTGGTGACATAGCCAAATACTGTCCAATCTGTGGGCATTCCTTTACCACAGGGATCTTTGTTCGGTTCTTATCCACTGTGAAGAAGCACAACAACAAAAGCATTAAAATGACACATTATCAAAGAATGGGATAGAGGGAAAATATGCTAGAATAGGGTACAAAACTATGAAACACAAGTGTTTACACATGACAAAGACTGCAAGTACACTGATTTGCAACCTATTTTACACATCTGTTGATGAGTTGATCACATGGAGGCTGCGGACTATTCCATGCAGGGGAATGGCTTCACATCTGGAGATGAGGAATCAAGACCTTGTGCATCAAAAACATGGCTTCACATCTGGAGATGAGGAATCAAAGCGACCTTGTGCACCACCAAAAACATATTACTCAAGACAGTGTAGTAAGTGCTAAATGGTTCCTTTTTCTGCCTGAAAAGCAGAAATGAGTGGTGTGGGCCGAGCTGCCATATGGTCTGTAAGCACAGATCATCAAGACAGTGTAGTAAGTGCTAAATGGTTCCTTTTTCTGCCTGAAAAGCAGAAATGAGTGGTGTGGGCCAAGCTGCCATATGGTCTGTAAGCACAGATCAAGAATGTTCCAGAGCCTGTCCTGGTTGCCTAAAACACCTCACTGCAAAAACCCTTGAGAGTCAAAGTAGACATTCAGGAAAATGCCTATTGCTCCCCATTACCTTGTTCTTCCTCCTAAAATTGGATTTCCTCAGAGATGCACGGCTTGACAGAATTACAAAATCAAAATCTC